CGCAGGGGAAGGAGGAGGAGGAGGGGCAGGAAGGTGGAGGCGGGTGAAGCGAGGTACAGGATGAGGGGAAGGGAACGTGAGCAGGAGGTAGAGGAGGGGGGCGGGAAGCTGGTAGTTGAATGTGGTCGTGATAGTGATGGGCACGCAACGGATAATCAGAACGACGACGATCGCGATTGTTGCTAAGACAGGGGCGTATATAGATAGGACGAGGGTGACGACGACGAGTAGATTGATACGAAGTTGATGGTGGGGATCGTTGCAACGCTGCCCCTGCTGGTTCTAGTTGGCGATGGCGGAGGCGACGACGATACCGATGATGGTAATGACGACGACGATGATGATGCTGATGATGATACTGATGGTGATGACGATGATGCTGATGATGATGGTGATGTTGATGATGCTGCTGCTGATGCTGCTGCTGATGCTGCTGATGCTGATGACGATGGGGGTGGGGGAGGCGGCAGCGCAAGATGAGAGATCGGGAGGTGTTGAGCGGGGGAGACAGCGTGAGAGTGAAGATGAGCATGGATGTGACGATTCTGGTTTTGACTTTGTAGGAAGGCAGAGAGACGGGGGAGGGACATGATTATGCTGCCCGCGGCTATTTGTGGCTCTTTTTCGGGCCGCGCTTCCATTCTCAAGTCTCTCAGGGTCTTGCTCAGGGATGCAAGACCTCGCCCTCCATGCGGCGGACGTCCTGAGGCACAGGGCGCAGGCGCTGGGGGCCACAGTCGTGGCGCGGGCCGCCGCGCCGAGCTGCGGGGCCTGCGCGCCACAACTGGCCTGCCCCGCGCCTTCGACCTTCTCCTGCCCCGCCTGCGTCTGCGCGGGTGCGGGCGGGCACGTGGTCGAGCCCTCGTGCCTGGGCCTCGTCACGGCCTGCGCGGTGGCCGCGCTGACTGTCGGCCTCGCCGTCGGGACCGTTGGAGGCGCTTGGGCGGCGCGGCGGCTTCTCGGGCATTCGGCCCACCAGCCGCCCGCCGTGGTGGAGATCGTTGACGGCATCGATATCGCCGCCCTCGCGGCTCAGCAGGTCCGAGACGCTCGAGCCCGCGCCCCAGCGTTGCAGTGATGGCGGGCAGTTTCCACGTGCTGCGCTACCGCGTCGGTGGCGTACCCCTCTGGCACGAGCGCCTCGTCCTCGGCGTCAACAGGGGCCTCGCCTACATCCTCACTCCCGGCTTCGACGACTACGACGAGCCCATCGTCGTCGGCCCCGACGTGCGGGCGATCCTGCAGCTTGCGGGCCAGGGCGACACGCCGCCAGCCCTGGCGGGGGTCGCGGTGCACCGCTTCCGCCGCCTCCCGACGGCCGCGGAGCTGTGGGCGGCTGTCGCTCGCTCGGTGGCCGCAGGTTACCCGAGACCTGCCGACCCTCTGCCGCTGGCGCTCGCGGCGGGCAACGTGGCGGGCGCCCCGCCTGGTCCCTTCCCGCTGGCGGAACCTGCGGCGGCCGCCGCCCTGCCGCCTGCGGCCTTGCCGCCACCTCCTGGCGGGGGAGGGGTGGCGCCGCCTGCGGGGGCCGCGGTCCCTCTGGCGATGCCCCCTGCGGCCGCCGCCGCCGCGGCGCCCCCTCTCGGCGTCGCCCCTGGCGTCGCTGCGCTGGCCGCCGCGCTGGGAGCCGTCCCGCCTGGGCCCGTGGGGGCCTTGCCGCTGGTGCCAGCGCCTGCAGTGGAGGCTGCGCCTCCCGCCGCCGCCCCTGTGGCGCCCGCCCCCGTCGGAGACTTCAGGGTCCTCCCGATGCAGCTCAGCCCGAGGGGCGAGCGCGAGAGGAGGTTCGGTGAGACGGTCAACGCCCTCTCGGAGACGCCTGTGCAGGGCCGGCCCGTGCAAGGGCCGCGGACCCTCCTTTGGTGCCTGTCCTTCATGTCGACGATGGCGGGTACGCCCACAGCGTGGCACCAGAGGTGGCTCACCTCGATGGCGTTGCCCGACGAGGACGAGCACGCGAAGCTCCACGAGACCCTATGCCGCGTCCTGGACCTCGCCGTCGTGTACGACCAGCTGCAGATCGCCGAGATGGCCTCGTTCGAGATCGTCGCCCGCCAGCTCCAGCTCCTGGAGGAGCGGGTGTACGAGGCGCGATCGGCGCCTCCGAGCGGCGCAGCCCCCGAGGCCAAGGCCGCGGCCAGAGGCGGCGCCTCAGCTGGGTCCTCCAGCTCGCCTGAGACCAGCTACTTCCTCGGCGCAGGCGTCTCAAAGGCCAACCTCTGCATCTCACCAAAGTTGCTGGAGTACATCGCAGACCAGATGAAGGCGGAGGCCGCCATCGGCAAGGAGCCCCGCAAGGCTCGCGAGGAGCGGGCCTTGCGGGCGCCATGACGCCTGAGAACTTCAGGCCTGGCTGTGGGGCGCGCCGCAGTGGCGCCGGCCAGGCTCATTGCCCCCCTCGCTGCGCACCCCCTTCGGCAGCGAGACGTTTTTCCCCTCCACCCTCTACCTGTGGAGCGAAGATCGGGCACTTCATCCATGAGTGGATCGGCCCGCAGACGGGTCGCCAGAGGAGCTGCTTGGCGTGAGTGGTACAACGACGCGGTGTCCACTCTCAACGACATCTACCACTGCGACCCGAACGATGTGATCGGCCCGCCTCCTGGTCTTCCTCCGCGCGCTCGTAGTGACGCTGAGGAGTTTCTTGCTCAACAGTATCGCGATTTTGAACTACCTCCTGGATGTTCTGAATCTCCCCAGAGATGCGAGGCAGCCCTCGCAGAGTTGCTCGCGTCGGCGCCTGGGTGCTCTGGAGAGTCTCGGGTAAGTCCCTACAACAAGGAGCTCGTCTCCTGGCCGAAGCACGTGGCTCCCGTCCCGACGGCCGACCTCGTGTCGGAAGCTGATCGTTCTATGTTGTCAGGGTGGGGACATCAACTGCTACGTGACCCTACTGATGCAGCTGCTCTCAGGAAGGACTCGGGACTGGGGTCGCCCTATGTGGATCCACGCCTCCGGTTTCGGCCTCGGGAGTATGCTGATTTTCTGCTACGCCTGGGCCAGGCTGGCATGCTTGAGTGGGAGGTCGCCGATCGTCAGGCTACATTTTCTATTGGCTTCTTCTTCGTCGAGAAGTCCAACGGCGTCAACCTGCGGCTCGTCTTTGACACGCGGGTGGCCAACGTGTCCTTCTCGGCCCCTCCTTCTACGAGATTGCCGACTCCGTCGGCGCGGAGCGCACTCGAGGCCGACCGCGACTTCTACGTGGCCCAGGGGGACATTCAGTGCGCATTTTACCATATGAAGCTACCGCCACATCTGCATCGATATTTTTCTCTGCCCGTCGTCCCGAATCGGTACTTGGGCTTCAAGCGGCTCAACGGCGTGGCCATCGGGACGGGCGCCTTTCTGCAGCCGTTCGTCTCCGTCATGCCGATGGGCTGGTCCTGGGCCCTCCACTTCTGCCAGTCCGCCCTGACCACGGCCATCCTCGACTCGGGAATCGACGAGAGCTCCATGCGGGTGGATGGCGCCGCCGTCCCTCCGCTGCGGAAGGACTCCGACGTCATCGGCGCAGGTTACGTAGACAACTTTGCCACCGTGTCTCTTGACCCCGAGGTGGCCACGACGGCCTGTCAGGCCATGCGTGACGTGCTCGTGTCGAGGGGTCTGCCCGTTGACGAGTTGGCCCCCGCCGCCAAGCGCGTGGTCTTCACTGGCTTGAACATCCTCGGCGACGTCGGCATCGTCCGCTGCAAGATCGACAGGCTCTGCCGGTTGCGTCAAGCCTTGCTCGGTCTTATGAGACGCGGCTTTGCATCGCCCTTGGCCTTGTCAGCAGTGGTGGGTCACTGTGCGTGGGGTATGATCACCAACAGACCCATGCTGTCGATCTTCAACTCAGTCTACTGCTTCATGGGGTTGGATTCCCGAGTGGCCGTGCCGCTGTGGCCGTCGGTCGTCGCCGAGCTGCGCGCGGCGGCCGCCCTCATACCGCTATGGTGGGCCGACGTCAGAGCACAGTGGTCGGCGACTACCTTCTGCAGCGACGCCTCCCGCTACGGCATCGGGGTCTGCCGCAAGACCGTCGACCAGGAGGTCGCCGCGGCCGCGGGGCGCTTGTCCGAGAGATGGCGCTATCGGTTCTCCGACGCCGTGCACGCCCGTGCCCGCGCGCTCGGGATCGAGCCTCGTTCTGTGTTAGAAGCTACCGTGGACAAAAAATTGCCTCGAAGAATGCCGCCTCAGTACGAAGCCTCTTAAGATCCCCGGGGGCCCTCCGTCTACGGCATCATCGTTACATCAACCAGCTGACGCTGCTTCTCTCGACGGCTTCGATGAGGTTCCCGACTCGATCACGGCTTCCGACGGCTGGGCCACGATACACAGTTCCCGACATTCAAGGTTCGGCTTGGACATTATGCGATACGAGGCGGAGGCTCTCGGGTTTGCGATGCGACACTCGGCTCGGTCTGGACGGCTTCGTCATCATCGCATCTTGTTCACCGTTGACAATTTGGCTCTAGCTCTTGCCGCTGGCAAGGGCCGTTCTGGCGCCCGAGGCCTCCGCGACCCTCTACGCCGACTATGCGCCCTGTCGGCGGCCACAGGCATCCGCCACGCCATTCGGTGGATCCCCAGTGAAAGCAATGCCGCGGACTCGCCGTCCAGGACAGGCTTCTTCGTCGGGCCGACCTTCGAGGGGCACCAGGCCTCTGCATCCCGAACCTCGAGGGCATCGGACCACGCCGCTGGCGGAGCAGAGGACCAGGACCCATCCTGGGCCCGTGCTGCTCGCCCGAGGGGCCCTGTCGGTGCTGGAGTCGGCCGCCGCGTCGGGCACGACCATGGCCAACTACTGGGATGCCGCCAAGAAGTTCGAGGAGTGGTGCCGCTCGACGTCCCAGACGTGCGCCACGACGGAGGAGGTCGGTGTCATCCTAGTTACCTAATTCGTGAACCGCTGTCTGGACGGCTTCGACAGTGCCACGGGCCGTGTACTCATGCCCGCTCTGAAGCACTACCTACCCGCGACCCTTGCTGGCAGGGCCCCGTGCCCACAGGCGGCTCGCGCCTTGACAGGCTGGCGGGAGCTCGTGTTCCCACTGGCGCGACTCCCTCTACCTCGAGCGGCGATGGCATCCATCGTGGGCGTCCTGATAGCGTGGAAGCTCTTCGGCGTGACAATGTTCGTCGGGCTGATGTTCGACGCCTACCTGAGGCCAAGCGAGGCCCACCGCCTTGCGGCGGGGGGCGTGATGCGACCTCGACCCGTGCACGACGAGGGCCCCGCCGACGGCCTTTGGACCTTCGCCCCCGACGCGGTGCGGGGCATGTTCCGTCGAGCAGCGGCCGCCCTCGGTCTGGAGATCGAGTTGATTCTCTACTCGCTTCGTCATGGGGGTGCGTCCGACGACCTGCTGTCGCTCAGGCGCACGACGAACGAGGTCAAGGACCGCGGCCGCTGGATGACGGACCAGATCCCTCTCCGCTTCGCGAGGCGGGCCCGCATGCAGCAGCGGATCGCCGGCCTAGGCCAGAACGTCGTCGAGTTCGACGAGCAGGTGGACTGGCAGAAGAACGACTTCATCCTCCAGACCACGGCCTCGGGCGTCTTCCCACGGCAGGTTCCACGGGCAGTGGCGCCGACGCCGCCTGCGGTTAGGCGGGCGCCCGCACCGATCACTGCACGGTGGGCCTTCGCCTGGCGCGCCTGTGGCGCGCTGCCAGGCGGGCCTCTGCGAGAAGCAGGTACTGCCCCGCGCTGGTGCTCGACTGCGGCGGAGGGGCGGCCCGCGCCCTGCAGCGGATGGGCTTCGGCGTCGTGCACCTCGACACAAGTCGCCTCCCTGGTGGCGACATCACCGATCCCGCAGTGATGCGGCGCGTTTTAGGCTGGATTCGTTCTAACTGCATCTCGTGCGTGTGGGTGGACACCGGCGCCGCCACCTGGCTTCGTCATTCGCCTGCTGTTCGTTCTAAGCTGTATCCTCGCGGCCCCCCGACCTTGATCAACTTTAAAGCTCGATCTGTTTGCGTCGCCAACCTTTCCAAAATCAGTACTTACACGTCCTGTCTGAATGCTGTGGTAAGGAAGTGCCCGCCATATTGTGCCACCCCGACGCGTCTTTTATATGGGATGGCCGTGCGTGCACCTCTCTTGTGAGACAGAGTTCTTCTTCGACTGCTTTCGACTCTTGCATGTGCTCTGGCCGCGTCAGGAACAGATTTCGTCTTGTTGGCTGGAACGTGAAGGATATTGATAGGCTATCCCTGACCTGTGCACCTGTTGCCTCGCCGTGCCGTCGCACTCGGAAGCGACATCTCGGCGAGTTAGGCATCCCATCGTTAGACCGTCAGATGCGCAACGCGGCGCGCCACCCTCCTGCCTGTGTGCTACGATGCGCATGTGAAATGATGGCCAACAGTGTCGATAGCCTCCGATACGTCTCCCGACTATCTAGATGTGTGTGAGTTTTCATTCAAGTATTGCGGCTTGCAGCCAGTGTCTTGGACTAGCCATAATACCTGGTGCTGGCCCCTGCGGCATCAGATTTCGTGTCCTCGCCTGGCGCCCCTTTCCGCGCGAAGAATCGTCTGGCCACGGAGTCGTCCACATTATGCTGCCCGCGGCTATTTGTGGCTCTCTTTCGGGCCGCGCTTCCATTCTCAAGTCTCTCCCTCCCCCCCTTTGTTCCCAACTCAAGAATGTTTCTTTAGCCTGGTGCTGGCCCCTGCGGCATCAGATTTCGTGTCCTCGCCTGGCGCCCCTTTGCGCAAAAAGAATCGTCTGGCCACGGAGTCGTCCACACAATTATGATGGCCATGCTGATGATGACGACGCTGATGCTGGTTATGATGATGACGATGATGAGGCTGATGCTGATGACGATGCTGACGATGATGATTATTCGTATGCTGCAGATGATGACGATGATGTTGATCATATAATTGCCGACGCGGGTAAGGATTATGCTGATAGTGATGCTGATGATGATGTTGCTGATTCTGATTCTGAATATTATGCTGCCGACGATGATACTGATGATGATACTGATGATGCTGATAATGATAATGATGACGATACTGATGATGAGGATGATGATGATGATGGTGGTGCTGGTGTTGGTGATGAGGATGTATCTAATGTTGATTGTAATCATGATGATGCTGACGATGATGAAGAGGAGGAGGAGCATAGCAGGAGGAGGAAGAGGATGATGATGATGATGATGATGATGGTGGTAGTGGTGGTGATGACGATGATGATTATGAGTCTGCTGATAATAACTTTGATGATGACGATGCTGATGCTGATTGTGATGCTGGTGATGATGCTGATGATGCTGATACAGCTATGATGATGCTGCTGATGATGAGGCTGACGGTTATGATATGATGACGACGACGATGATGATGAGGTGGAGGAGGATGAGTATGATCAGTGTAGACGCACGACTCATCAACGCTGTTGGGATAAACCCTCCCTTCCATCTCCCTATCCATAGGCTCCTACAAGGGTTGATGTGCACTGAGGGGACTGCTCCGTTGGAAGACAACGTTTTGAAGACCCTGGTGCATGCCAGAACATCGTTCTCGGGATTCCAACGCCACGGATCCACTTGACTGTTGGGTCCTGGCGATCCTAAATCGTGCCAGAACGCCGTTCTTGGGACTTCAATACCGCGGATCAGCGTAACTGTTGCGCTCTCATAATCCTGACTCCTTATAACACCAAATTTCTGGCAGGATGATCGTAGGAATCAGTGAATCTCGTGTAAGTTTGAGATCGAATGTGCGCGGCGCTAAGGTGAGGGCCACATTTTGAAAACCACCCGCCCCCAGACCGTGAAACTCTGGCAAATTTTTACAACAAATATGCGCGGCGCTCAGGCGAGAACCACATTTTGAAAACCACCAGCCCTCCATCTGTGAAGCTGTTGTCAAATTTACAGATTCAGGGTCATAAGCAGTGAGGAAGTCTCAAACGCCCAGACCGCCCTAAAAAACTGGCCTCGGGGTGCGACAGGGGGAAACCATTCATAACGAGAAGGAATGAATGAGGAGGAGGACAAGTAGGAGGAGGAGGGGGGTGGGAGGGGGGTGGGAGGGATTGTAATGAGGATGAGGAGGGAGGGTGGTAGGAGGATTTTTGGGAAAAGGGGAGACGACTGCCGCTGCTGCTGCTCATGAGTACGAGTGGGATGTAGGGAGGGCAGATGACGAGGAGGGATTTGGGAAGGACGACCATGAGGCTAAGGAGGAGGGAGTGGGACATCTTTCTGCAAGCGCTGACTTAGCCATCGGGATGTACGGTGCCTAAACTGTGTACTGAGCCGCAGCATCTGGTAGGGACATGGACTACTCAGCCCTGTGTGTCCACGATATATTATGAACACGTCAGCTTTGGTCATCTCCACTTTTTCCAACCTTCCCCTACCATACGCCACCCCACCTACCCTACCTTAAATGGCAGAGGAGAAGGAGGAGGAGGAGGAGGAGGAAGAGGAGGAGGCGGAGGAGAGGGGGAGGATGGGGACGAGAGGATGGGGGGAGAGGGAGGGAATTTGATGATGATGGTGATGCGGATGATGCTGCTGCAAATGATGATGCTGATGCTGGTGATGATGCTGATGATGATGCTGATGCTGATGATGATGATGATGATGATGATGATGATGCTGACGTTCATGATGACGATGCTGCTGATGACGATGATGATGATGATGATGACGACGATGATGATGATGATGCTGCTGCTGCTGATGATGATGATGATGATGATGGTGATGATGATCTGATGATGATGGTGATGATGCTGCTGCTGATGATACTGATACTGATGCTGATACTGCTGCTGCTGATGATGATGATGCTGATGATGCTGATAATGATGATGAGTAGGAGGAGGAGGAGGAGGAGCAGGAGTTGCAGGAGGGAAGGGGACGGTGGCCGGTGGCCTATGAGACGTCCGCGCCGCCCTCCCTAGCGAGACGGGGGTTGCATCGCCCTGTAACCAGCTCGAGCGTAGCATGTACCCTTTGCCTGCGGACGTGTGGGACCAAACCAGACCGCCATCCGCCTCGGACTGGCTGCGTGCACCGCATCGGCCCGACCCGCAGCATTCCCGGATGCGGAGAGAGACGTGAGGCCTGTCACGCAGGCGCGCCTACGCCCGTGGGCAAGAAGCATGTTTGTATCCGCGGCCTCGCAGGCCGGACCTTACGGATACGGGCCGTTCTTCGCGGATGCCCACGCCGAACGTGCCCGTGCGACTGCGTACCCGCGGGATCGCGCCTCCGAAGCCAGACTGCGAGGACGCGGATATGGATGTGTTCGCCGCTCGTGATGTAAGGCCGAGCGTGCATGCGCGCGTACGCACGTGCGCTCGCGTGCTGCGTCTGGGCACATGGCATGTGCACCATTCGCACGTCTGTCGCACTCCCTTTCGGAGTCTTCTGACGCGCCCCCCGCCATGCCCGACCGGGAAGAGGAGAAGGAGGAATAGGAGAAGGAGGAGGATGAGTATGTGGAGGCGGAGGTGGAGGCAGAGGAGGAGGACAAAGAAAAATCGGTATGAGGAGCAGGAGGAGGAGGATGAGGAGGAGGATGAGGAGGAGGAACGAGAAACAGCAGCAACAGCAGCAGCAGGAGGAGGAGGAGGGGGGGTGCCAGGCACGATACATGCCTGTGCTGTTTGAGTGTTTTACCCAACGAAGCGACGAGCGATATCCGTTTGTAATCCGCCACGCCGGGACCTGTATGTTTTGGACTCGAAAAGAAGCCATATTCCATTCCACTCACATTTTTTTTTTGTGTTCGCCACAAGGGATACCTTTGTAATTTGCTAGTTCCTATGGCGGAATGCCGAGTTCGGAACACAAGAGAATTCTTTGCGGCAGAAGGCAAAACGGATCACCGTTGCGACGGGATTCAAGAGGATTTCCTTCGTGGCAGAATGCGAAAGCATCCCTCTTGTGGTGAGATACAAGGAGAATCCTTATGTGGGCAGTTACAAAAGGGATTTGTTTTGTGGCGGAATACAGAAGGATGTTCTTTGTGGCAGAAGACTAACTACAGGATTCATCTTGTGGTGGACTACTAAAAGATTTCCTGGTGGTGGATTACTACGGGGCTCCTTTTGTGGCAAAACACAAGAGGAACACTTCTGTGGTTGATTACCGAGGGATTCCTTATGTGGCGGAATGCAACGGGAATCCTTTTGTGGCCGAGTACGAAAGGCCCCCCTTGTGGCGGAATACAAAAGGATTCCTTTTGTGGCAGAACGCTAGGGCTTCTTTTTGTGGCGGAATACGAAGGGATTCCTTGTGTGGTGGTTGTCGCTGCCTCTGCTATGCTCCCGGTTCCACACGGCTCAGTGCTGCCTATTCCTCGGCGCGCCGCGGTACCTCTGCCGTTCGTGGTGTCCCAATGCGCCCGCCCGCCAGCTTCAGCTGCTGGCAGCCGCCCTCTCGCCCACCCTTGCCACCGCTCTGGCCCTGCGCGCCCTGCTGCTGCTGCTGCCCCACCCCCGGCGGCTCACCGTCGAATTCTTCGACGTCTGAGCGTCCCTTCTTCCTGTCGGCCGTCCCCCCCTCTCTTTTTGCCCGCGGCCAATGCGCTAGTTAGTGGTCCTTTCTAGCTTCTCGGTGGAGCGGAGTTCGCCGCCTCGCAGCTGACGAAAAGAAATGTGGTGGATTACTACGTTCTATGGTGGCAGAATACAAGAGGAGTTCTCATGTGGTTGGCTACCATGGGGGTTCCTTGCGTGTCGGAATGCAGAGGGAACCCTTCTGTGGCCGAAAACAGAAATGGCTCCCCCTGCGGCGGAACGCAAAAA